TTACAAACATCCTTAAATAGGTTGTACTATATCATTAATTATATTCATTAATGTTCATAATAACTGGCATTATTCTTCTATAAATTCCAATCCTCCAAAGTAGTTACCAGCATTTTGAAAGCATTTGTTATGCCTTTTCACCTATTCCTGAAAGATGTGATACAGGCCGTCTTTGCCAACAAAATGTGATTGTTTCCATCGGCTGTGGCCGTGTACCACACGCACCGTATTCCCAATGCCGTGTACCACACGCACCGTATTCCCCAGACTTAGCTGACTGTGATTTCTATCTTTTTCCAACAGTGAAGACAAAATTATGAGGTATCCACTTTGAGGCCAGTAATGAGATCATTCAGGAATCCACACACCACGTCTTTCAGGACTGGGTGAAAAGGCATAACAAATGCTTACAAAGTACTGGTAACTACTTTGAAGTATTATAAATGATGGAAGAATAATGACAGATGCACATTAATGAATATACTTAATGAAATAATACAACCTAGACAGAATGTCACATATTCAGCAATGAATACAGTGTCCAAACATCATATAAAATTACTGTTGTTTTTCAAATTTGGTATTTTTTTTATATTACTGTTGTTTTTCAAATTTGGTATTTTTTCTGAGCTCCACCTTGTCGCGTCACCGGTTACCATGGTAACAAAAATAATAAGATAATGATGGCATAGAACAATGAAATCTTCGTGAGGTGATCCTATATATTTGGGTTATATTATGTGAAAAAATCAGTAAGAAAGGATAAAAAATGGCAAAAATAGAGCCAACGGTCCAGAAATTCCTGATCACCCCTCGTAAGATGATAAAACAAACTACATGTACTACAATACTACACTGTTTACATACAATAATAGTCACTGCCGCCAGGGGGACTCTCTATCTTGCTATGCATTCATTCTCGCTCTCGAACCTCTATGTCATCATATAAAAAATGATAAAAATGTTAAAGGGTTGAACATTTTTGACCATGATGTTAAAATTGGCATGTATGCCGACGACACTTTCATCACCCTTGACGGTTCCGAAGCTTCACTCAGAAAATGTCTAAATACATTTTCTCTGTTCCAACAAACATCAGGACTTAAATTAAATATCGAAAATACCTTTGCCATTTGGTTAGGTAATAAACCAAATTCAAATGAAAAACTCTGTCATGATCTACCTTTGAAATTGGAAAGTTCCTTTAAATGATTAGGAATCCAATTTTATAGCGATTTGATTAATATTGAAAAGATGAGGTAAAATTAACTGAGATACTTGGGTGCATCAAAAAGTTTTGCAATTTTGACACTATCTCAAGTTATACATTTAGCTTTGCTTTGAAATTTGGCACAATTATAGATCATATATTTATACATAGTGTGTAACGATTTGGTTGCTCATCTGTGATTGGGTAAAAAGATATGGTTGCTATGGTAACGGGACCCGAGGGTACTCGGTTCCACCTAGAATATGTTAATTTTAAATTCTATTATTTTCTGTTATTATTATGATTCAGTCACCAAAATTACAGGTTTGTGTGTCTTTTCATTCCCCATTTCTATTTCTTATTGTTCTGATGACATCACACAAGGCTATTATGACATATGGATTTACATTGCGATGTAGATTGTGGGGAAAACCTGTGAATTCTGGCAGCCATTTTGTTTCAAGTAAATTTTCTCTTTCTGCTACAAACCCCACTTCCATATGGACAATGCATGGCCCCATACAAGTAGGGTGGCAATTGATGCTCAAGAGGACCTGGATTGGGAGCGTGTAACAACAGGCAGCTTACTCCCAGACACATTACCATGCGACTTCTTCTTGTTCAGTCATATGAAGAGGGGATTGAGGGGCATGTGCTTTGAAACCCAATAGGAACTTGCCTCAGCCGTATTGAAGCGATTGGCTGTTTTATCAGCAGGGGATTTCAGGCTGTCTTCAGAGACTGGGTCCACAGACATCAACAATGTTTGGCAGCTGGGAGCAATTATTTTGAATAATTTGAGAACAATGTTTGCAGAAAATTGATAATAGGAATTTGAGAACAATGTTTTAATATGCAGAAAATTGTTAATATGAGACTAAACAAGGTGTTGGCAAATTGATGTCATTTATTCTGTTTATTGCGTAATAATAAACTTGCATTGAACCATGAGGTCGCTTCTTATATTACTATGACAACCATATTTTCTTGAAAAATAAAGATCCTGTCTCAAAATTTTGCAGGTATGTCCACAAATGTATGATCATTGTATGTGCCGAATATTATGACATAACTCAATATAGTTATTACGATAGAGTCAAAATTGCAAAACTTTTTGATGCACCCAAGTATAAACTGTAATTAGTAGATACAAAAGAAAAAAATTATCATTAATTGGGAGAATAACAGTTATTAAATCATTTGCACTGTCTAAAATTGTCCATATTATGATGAGTTTACCAAAAATATCTCTTGAATATCATAAAGGATTAAAGAATCTTTTCGTAACGTATCTCTGGAACTCGGCGGTTTCAAAGGTAAGTTTCAGTCAAATCTGCCAAGATTTTAAAGATGGCGGTCTTAAAATGATAGATCCGCAAATATTTGAACAACCTTTAAAACTGACCTGGTTACAAAAACTAACAAAAAACGGTACGTGGCAATCAGTCGCACTGAGCAGCATCGGAGTTCAACACGCGCAAGAATTATTCTCACACGACTCTAAATCACTTCAGAAAATTGAATCAATATTGTTAATCCTTTCTGGAAAGGAGTAATTAATATTTTTAGAACATATACTGTATTGAAGGAAAATGAATTTGAACAAAAATCAGATTTGAAAGCGGAGCATCTAATGAATTGCACCTGGCTAATGTATAGTAAAAACCAGAATGTAAATGCCACCATCAAAAACAATAGTGTTCTTACTCTGAAGGACATGCTCTTGAAGTCCAAACGATTGTTTACCCTCAATGAATTCAAAGAACGCTTCAATTCAAATATAATTTTCTAGACTTCTTAAGTCTTAAAAATACAATACCAGTTAAATGGACAAAAACAATATTTGAAAACGACAAAACTCTTGACCACTATCCAAATAGCAAAAAGCATCTATTGAAATTCACAGAAAAAATAAGATCTCCAGAACAATCACTTGGGAATTCATTAAAGGCCCCGTGTAAAGTTTAAACCACTTTGGCTTATATTGTAGTCTTACCCAATGTTATCAAAGTGTGATATGTGAAACTTTTTTTAAAAATTTCAAATAGTGGTTTTTGATAGACTTTTTGTTCCAAAATTTGTGAACTTATTTAAAACCAACTTTTAGAGGTCACTCGTATCTTTTAATTAGCCACAATTCATACCAATGCATAGCATTTATCTTCCCATGTTTTTTGCCGAAAAAATTAAGAAAATCGGTTGATAAACAAGCGAGAAATGAACTTATCAGTGCATGAAAATGGTTCTGAGAAAAATGCATTTCAAAATTTTAGTTCTCATAGAAACCAATGGTACAATGATATCTAAAACATAATTTATTCTTCCTTTTAACCTGGTTAGACAATCAACATTGGTTTTTATGAAAGTCTAGCATATTTAGAAAAGATTGACATCGAAAAAAAAATTCAATTTTTTTCAAAAAGTTTTTGTTACCTTAGTGACATCACTAATGTTTCAAAATCTTTTTGATGAGCTAAAACATTGAAGTGGCCCATTAAATATGACATTTTATTATTGAAATAGTGTGTCTTATGTTCAATCTTTGCATTGGTGTTAAAAAGATAATCTTTTTTGAAATGCATTAAGAAATATTTGATGATTAAGAAATTTCATGCTCACAACATTTTTTTTCAAAAAGTTTTTTTTGTTCAAAAATCTCTAAAATCACTTTTTAAGTCCTGACAAATGGTAAATGAATGATAAAAAAATATTTTCAAACTTTGGACGGGGACTTTAAGGATTTTAATAAAAGTTATATTTTAAAGTGGAACGATGAACTGAATATTGATCTCAATAATCATGAATGGCATATCATAAATACTATGAACAAAGTGAGTAATATTGAGCCAAAACTAGCATCTTTTAACTTTTAAGTGCACAGATTTTTGACTACAAATAAATATCTACATATGTGCGATCTCCAAGATTCTGCCCTTTGCAGTTTTTGCGGAAACCAAGTCGAAACTATTGGCCACCTTCTCCTTCATTGTGATTTTGCAAACACATTGCTGAGTGATATTAAGAAATGGTTGCCAGAGGGACTGTCCGTTTTGAGTGATCCGAGAAAGATCATATTGGGTCCAGTAATCATGAACGAAAAATCAATACTATTAAACACAATTTTTCGCATATATAAAAGATATATTTATCTATGTAAATGTAAAAATGTACAACCAAATTTTGTAGGTTTTAAAAGTAATGTGCAACAATATTTTCAACTAGATGTAAAGTTGGAGAAAGGGGACAAGTGGGGAGAGGTCAAACATTTATTATAACAGTGAATTTACTTGAATTTTCTAGGAGGATCTTATATATAATTATATAACTCCGAAGAATCTACATAAAATGTAGCAACAATGCAACACTCTATCTACTCGTGGTGCTCTTGGCAGAAATACCTGCAATTTATTATAGAAATAATGTAGACTCTTGTTTATATTGAACATTTGTATTTATTGAATTGTAATGCTGCTAAACCTGAAATAAAAATCTATTAAAAAAAAAAATTGTATGACATGTATGAGACCAATGTTAATGCTACCAAAGGGAATCGGACCTACATGTCTTACTATTTATACATTTTTTTTTGTTTTTAAAACTTCAATATGAGATGTATATTTCTTAGTTTTTAAAGAAATCTACAAATATTTCGTTGCGGTTTTATCTTTACATCGTCATTTCAATCACCGTCATCATTTTTCGAATGAGTAACCTTGAAATATCAAGACGGCATGCTATCCTCATACTTATAGAACTTAATATGACTGCCATTCATCATTTATTAAGCAGTAAAATTAATTTGCATCGTGGATGACAAAATGTTTCTACTTTTCCGGTATAGTCGAGTCTCACATCATACGAATGCAATTTTAAGCAATCTGTCTGCATGGGGTGAAATACAATAAACGACAGAGAACATTGTTCCCCAATAGCATTTCACAACCTTACTTTTACAACTTTCACAAAACAAAAGTCTTTTCATGATTTCATCAAAATGGTATTTTCTGACAACAATAAACACTGAAAACACTGAAAGGTTCTGTACTTTTCAGTCACTCCAGCATGTTAGCTCACTAAAACGTATAGCTGTAAAACATACAGGGTATCAACAAAGTGTCTTTACAATTGCAATCGAAGTCATTGTAAACAGTAAAGAGACTAATGGGCACCCAGTATAATAATCATTTTCAAAATACACCATGCCGCTACATGCACACGACATATAGTGTCAACTATTATATCAGAGTATATAATGGTATGTGCCATGGTCATGTTGTGTTTTGACCAAAATAGATTATATACAAGTCTGAGTTAAGAGTATAACCTTTCTTCAAAACTGTAAATTGTGACAATCTTACAATATATTGTGGTCACAACATTTCACATCATGCATATTTTCCAACAGTTCTAAAATGACCAATGTTGTAGAGACTTAAAGTAATTGTGGTCTGCAAACGGGTAACCTAGTGGTAGGACTTCTGACACTGGTTAGAATGCGCAGGTTCCTTATAAGACTTCATCCACTTTGTTCCGGGAGCACATCTGAAAACACACAAACATACATTGTAAAGAGATGCAAGAATCTAAATGAATTTCATGGATACAAACAATACTACATATTGACCTACTAGAGATAGATTTGTCGATGATGGCAACCAAGAAGCTCTACATGAAAATATAAAACTGTTAATAAATTACTCAAACCTTTGAGAGAATGTCGCACCATAGTGACCACACTGGATGAAACAATCATCTGAGGCAGGGTTGCCATAGAGACCAACATATTTTCCCTTGCAGAAACCATCTAAAGTGTCAAATAAATACAAAAATACAGAGCAGGATTTTTTAGAATTGTTGCCATATATGAGTAACGAAATAAATATAATAGCATTTGAAATAAATGTATTTATATTACTCTCAAACAGATAAAAATGACTGTAGTTGTTCATAATATTTTATTATATAGTCTACAAGATAGATTAAAATCATATTATCGGAAAATTGATGGTCTTGAAAATTGAATTGCATTTTACTTTAATTAAAGCTGTAAATGTAACTTACATGGAGCATTGCATTTTGGAAGATGCACAGCGTACGTTTGAATTTGCTTGCCATAACCACTGGATTGTTGAGTGCCATATCCAGCATTTGTCTGCTGTGGCTTCCCATAACCATTTGACTGCTGTGGCATGCCATAGCCACTCGATTGTTGTTGCTTGCCATAACCGTCCGACTGCTGTTGATTGCTATGCCTGTTAGCCTGTTGGGTTCCGTAACCACCTGATTGTTGAGAGCCATATCCAGCATTGGGCTGTTGCTGCCCGCCATTACCACCAAACTGCTGTTGATTGCTATGCCTGTTAGCCTGTTGGGTTCCGTAACCACTTGATTGTCGAGTGCCATATCCAGCGTTTGACTGTTGCTGCTTTCCATAACCGCCCGACTGCTGTTGATTGCTATGCCTGTTAGCCTGTTGGGTTCCATAACCACCTGATTGTTGAGAGCCATATCCAGCGTTTGACTGTTGCTGCCCGCCATTACCGCCCAACTGCTGTTGATTGCTATGCCTGTTAGCCTGTTGGGTTCCGTAACCACTTGATTGTCGAGTGCCATATCCAGCGTTTGACTGTTGCTGCCCGCCATTACCGCCCGACTGTTGTTGATTGCTATGCCTGTTAGCCTGTTGGGTTCCGTAACCACTTGATTGTCGAGTGCCATATCCAGCGTTTGACTGTTGTCGCTTGCCATAACCGCCCGACTGCTGTTGATTGCTATGCCTGTTAGCCTGGTTGGTTCCATAACCACTTGGCTGTTGTGTGTCATATCCGGCATTCGCCTCTTGATTTCCATAGCCACGTGGTTTTTGAGCTCCATATCCGGCCAGATTTGCCTGTTGTTGCTTGCTATAGCCATTTAACTGTTCGGTGCCATATCCGGCAATTGACTGTTCTTGTGTACCATAACCATTTCTGGACTGTTGTCGTTCATAGTCATTCGACTGCTGAGCACTTCCAGAATGGCGCTGCTTATAGCCCTTCGACGCTAGACTTTCATCGCCAGAGACGCTTCCACTTCTTGTGTTGGTTTGTACGCTATGGTAATTGGTCTTTGACACCACTTGCACGTGTTTGTACCCTCCCGTTTGCTCAGTGTTGCCAGACTTGGCTTCCACCATTCCAGGTTTTGCAAAGGCGCAACTGATAAGTGCAGTAAGTACCACCAAAAGAAAGTCTCTCGTGTTACTTCGTTTCATTTTTCCTTTAATAATCTTAAAAAGTCTTATGTATCAGACAATCAACTTCTGTAGTATAGTCCTCTGCGGCCACCTCAGGATTTCGAATTTGTAAAAAAATTATCACCAGGATTGCTTTTAAGGCATTTGCAACTATTTGAATTGCTAATATAAACGTTATGGAATGTGAATATGTCAAACTTTTTCTGGTTATAGTGTGTTGATGCATCCTTTGACTAATTAGTTTTCTAAAATTGACAAGTCAAATGTCAAAGAGTAAATTTGTATTAGTTTTTATGATCATTTCTAATTGGTGCCCGATGCCTCCAGGATGTAGTATATTGCTAGTGTGTTAGGTATATAGTGTCATTGTAATTCAAGACAATGCTACTCCCTAAGCTGATTTCAATTAATTATCACCAAGGGCATAATAGCTTTCACTTGCAAACGACTATCTGGTGATGATTAGAAAAAACAGGTCGTATACAGGAAACTGTGGTTCACCAATACATTGTTATCATGTAGTTTGCCTTTCCGCTGTGCATGTCATTAAGGAAATCAGATAAGCAAATTAATCATTAAACACATTTACTTTGCAATCATTTTTAAAAGTTAAATCACAATCAGTTGGAGACATATCTGCGTTTACTAACTAGTTATAAACTATTTATAAACTTGTTATTGAATAAGAGTCTTCGCATTACACATGGACCATGCACTTATTTTCTCCAGGTTTTTATTTCCATAATTCAGTTGACTTAACATTTTAGTCATTTCATTGTGTTGTTTCAAATGTTCAGTGGTCAATAAACTTTTTTATATATATTGTGAATATTAAGTAACAATAATGATTTAGCATACGGTAACCCAAGTCTTTTTTTTAAAGGTTAGTTTATTTCATTTTAACACATTTATAATACAATAGTCATAGGTACAAAAAAGATACAATACAATGTGTATGAAATGCAAGCCGAGGTCTGATGACATTTTTGGCTTGTTAATGAAACAGAAAAAGAAAATAAGTTACTCTCAACATGTGCTTTCAGAAGAAGGCCTTCTATTGAAAGCCCATGCTCCCAGTTATGGTGGAAGATAGATAATGAGAATGAGATGAGATGATGAATAATGATCAGATTCAAGTAGTACATAAAAATTCAATTCCTAAATTATTTTATCAATAAATGTTGCAGTTAGCTTCATAATAATAGAATTTTGATCTCTTGTAAGGTTTGTATCACCAAATAAAATCATATTGAGTTTGTCAATACTACTTTTACCTGAAAAGTTAAAGGAGTTTCGGTCAGCCATTGATAAACTTTCGATGTAATGTTGCCTTGCTTCAAGTGTAAGAGGGCAATGCAAGAGGAAATGGACCTTTGTCTGATTATTAAACCCACACTGACATTTTGGATCTGAAACGTTTTCGAAATTGTGTCTGTAGAAATCTGACCTTAGCGATAGGTCACACCTCATTCTATTAAGTTTGATTTCTAATGGTCTCTTTAAGTTAAGTTTAGAAATTTTAACAGCTGTATTAATGTTGGAGCTGCAATGATGGGTTGTATATCTCCTTCGAAACTGAGATTTAGACTGACTGTTTTTGAGGATCTCTGGGGTATTAGTCCAGATCTTAATTGGCGAAATGGCTGGAGAATTTCTAAATTTGGTTGAGGCTCTTGCAGGGATATGATAAGTTCTGAATGACCTAAGTCCTGGTCTGTGTCTTTGGTTAAGAAAGGGAGTATAGATATCTAATACATAGGATGGGACAAGCTCCTTTGAGACCTTAAACATATGAGTAGCCTTTCTTTCATCTCTTCTCTGACTCAAAGCTTTCCAGCCTAACGAAAATAACAATTTCTCAGTACTAGTTCCTTGGATAGCTCCTGATACTATCAAGGCTGCACGGTAATGAATTTTATTTAATTTTTCAAGTTGAAGTTTTGATGCAGAGTCAAAAATAGCGCTCCTTGTTCCAGATGAGGCAGAATATAAGAAATATACATTCGTTCTAAATGATTAGATGTTAATTTAACTTTTAGAAAACTTAATGGATTGAGCATTTTACTTGCCTTAATTGCAATGTAATTGATGTGCTCTTCAAAGTTCAAATGTGCATCTAAGATTACTCCCAGATGCTTATGACTATGGACACGTTCAATTTGATCATTGCTGAGGAAGAGTGATGGGTAATCTATGGTTTGTGATCTTGACTTACAGAAAATTACTTCTTTAGATTTACTAGCCTTAAATTTCATTTTCCATACTTGTGACCAGTCAAAAATGTTATTTAAGTCATTTTGTATTTTATCATGAGACGTTATTACGCCTGTATTAGGTGTTACTCGAACATATAAAGATGTATCATCGGCATAAATGAATGATGTAGATTCTATTATATCAGGAAGGTCATTAATGTAAAGCAAAAAGAAAATTGGTCCTAAAATTGATCCTTGAGGCATCCCACTGTTTATGAAGCCTGATTGTGACCAAGGGGAAAGTTCTGAGTTGACTTTTGCCCTAACTCTTCTACAATGAAGATATGAAGTAAAAAGTTTAAGCAGGTTATCCCCAATTCCGTATGCTTTGATTTTATGTAGAAGCAGTGAGTGAGGAACTTTATCAAAAGCAGATTCTACGTCTAGAAAGGTTGCACGAACTTGCTGATTGTTTTCAAAAGCAGAAAAGATATAATTAGTGATACTCATTAGTTGGAGGTCAGTACTGTGGCCTGGTAAAAAGCCTGACTGATTTTTATATAGTAACTTGTTTTCAATGAGATGGGCAAGAAGTTGCTTATGAATGATTCTTTCACATAGTTTAGATATTGTGTTTAAAAGGGTGACAAGTCGTTGGCACCTGAAACACCTCAAATATATGATGTCACAGCTTTTTTAACAATCGTTTTCCGATTCATTACTCATGCCCAGTTCATGTTAAGTAGTGACAGTCCTATCAACCATAACCAGCTGCTCTACTTATTTAATCATCTCTGCTATTAGGCGATCAGCTTCACCCCAAAATTTAGGTTATCGGTACCAAATCAGGAGAATAAGCCTCATTGTGATTTTTGGCAAGGTAAATACCTCTAGAGTAAGAAATTATATGATAGCATTGCAGAAGTGGCAGCTAAATGGGTGTTATCACCCATTTTTCAAAATGGCTGCCGGTGCGCTTGCTACCAAATAAATGAAGTTATATCTAAGCATACTGAGAAGCAAAAAGTGATTTTGAGGTCTAAGTCTTGGTTTTAGGGGTCAAGGATTTCATTTAAGTCAAAATGTAAGTCATCAAAGAATTGCTATATATGGAAATCCAAGATGACCGCCAAAGTCGATGTCAAAACAAATATGTCACTATTGATATAAGCTCAAAAAGCTCAAAGAACGACTTTGGACTTTAAGAGGCTAGGGATTTTATTTGTGTCTAAATCTAAGTAATCAAAGAACTACTTTACATAGAAATCCAAAATGGCCACCAAAATGGGTGTCAAAATGAATATGTAACTATTTATGTAAACTCAAACAACATTTAAAATGTGCATTTGCAGACCAAGGTAAGGTTTTAGAGGTTAAGGATTCCATTCATGTGTAAATTGAAGTGATTAAAGAATACCTTTATATAGAAATCTAAAATGGCTGGCAAAATGGCTGACAATATGGCTGCAAAAATGAATTTATATGCATATAAAATTTAATATAGTTATGTTCTAGATATCTGAGACTGGGTTTCAGTAGAAAATGGTTTCAATTTACTAGCCTTTACCTAGTTATCTTAACCTTTTCTCATATAAAAATCCAAAATGGTCACCAAACTGGCTGCAAAATAAATATATATTTATATATGTGCCCATATCTTTAAGCATTAATGAAGGATCTTGGCTGGTGATTATGGTATCTTCCAAGGACAAGTGGTCGAGGTTTGTTCCAGTAGTCATTTGTCCATCATCTGTAGCTCACTATCATAAGGTTTCTGGGTGTTGGGAATATTACCTGATTTCATTGGTCATTGCCATTGTTAAGAATAACATGTGGTTTGATTGGTCATTACCACATTCACATGGAGCATGACTCAACCATCCAACGTATTTCCTTTATTGCCATCTTGAAGTTCACAGGCTGCAGACCTAGTTCTCTCAACATGATGTGCCGAGAATAACATTGGAAGCCTCTAAAGCCTACATGCACTGGAAAGTGGAGAGGTTAAGCTAACGATGTTTTTCACAACGTAACCGTGAACGCAAAGTACAAAAATTAACAAAGGAATGTATCGAGCGCTCATAGTTTTATGCGCGCTTAGTCTACTTCAGATACTCTTTCAGCTTCAGAGTTTCGGGTTTAGAACGGGAGATTTGAAATTTGACGTTGGGTCAACGGGAACCATTTTACTCGTGTCTATTGAACACTATGCTGTCAATTTTGATTTCGATGCACAGTTGAATTCTTGCTGAACACGATGATGTATGTCATGCATGATTTAGCGCCAAAAATCTTACGAAACGAGCTCGTTTAAAATATGTATTAGAAAACCAGCTATAAAACCGCATCAAGGACATACTATAGAATCATTACACGCTATGGTGTAGTCTAAACAAACACTGGATTTGAACGGCTATTTATATGAGAAGGCTACATGCTTTGTATATGGTCGAGTGATACGTACAGGTTCAGTTTCGATTATATATGCAAAGCTTAACCTCTCCAGTGTCTCACCTTCCATCCTTTACACTTTACTTTGCCAATGAGGTCTTCATACTCGGCACTCTTTAGTCCATCCGAAATATTATCTTCAGTGTAATTGTAGACTTGGGTTGAGTTTGTCCTTTCTTTACAGAAACTGGATAAAAACTGGTTGTAAGGAATCTCTTTACATGTTAATCTCTAGCCATTTGTAGTGTCAACCCACTTTATTATATCACCAGGCCATTGCAAAGTGCTTAAGATATGAACGATGGAGCAATTGCAGT